TGGCCCCTTTACTGTGATGCAGGTTTATTTGCGTGAATTGAATTCTATTGTCAGCCATTCAGAAAAACTGATGTTGACGCTTAAGAAAGCACGCTGTACTTGGTGTGATACAGGTGTCTGAAACAGTCCCTGTGTCACACAGCCCCCCCTGTGGGTGGTGTCCCACCGCCGTTCCTAGGTGGCGACCGTGCCTTGGATTCGCTCTCCACATTTCCTTTTGGATCCGTGGAGAGGTTCCCCTCAGCTGTGANACATTTCCTTTTGGATCTGTGGAGAGGTTCCCCTCAGCTGTGGCCGTTATTGAGGGTGGCGGTTTCCTGGGTCCCTTTCCCTTACGTAACACACTTCCTCCCTTCCCTTTCGAGGCAGGAGTGAAGTGTGTCCGTTTGTTCCTAACCTGTGCCTTACCTCCTTTCCCGAGTGGCACTGGTGATTCCTCAGCCTTCCTCTTCCCAGATTTTTGAGGTGTGGATTTTTTCACATCCTTCCGGGCTGGTGGCTGCTTGGCAACATAATCTGTGAAGCAAACTCTGCCCATTCCAAAATATGGACTGCACTTCAGTTCCTTTAGTTTGACCATGCTGTTTTCGTCCACACTTAGGAACAGAGTTTGTCCTTTCGGGCCAACCTCTGTCTCATGGTGGACTTTCCAGATCGCCGTGTTCAGCCCTGGGTTTTGTTTTGCCAAAATTTCCAAGATCTTCTTGGACTCTTTTGGCAGCCCTGGTATGTGAGTGACCATCCGTTTATACTTGATCGGGTTGTAGGCTTCCAAATGGAGTTCTGCACCGTCCCAAGGTTTTATCAAGTTGACATGGTCAGTGAGCCACTTAAGAGAGCTCTCTTGGGCTGCACTGATCACAAGTGCTCCATCAGTGAGTCTGGTGTCTTCAAACCTTGGTACGTCGGTTCCATCAGTACCCGACAGTATCAAGTCTCCAACACAAGACTCAATGAGTAGCCCGTGCTCTGTGGTCAACTTGTTAGTGGGGTAGCCTGCGAGGACCAGAGCCACTTTTTTATCATCGGTTACCACGTCCCTGTAGGTCGGTACCCAATGAGTTTTCTTACATGGAGGTTCTTGCCCCTTGTCCTCAGGTTTTTGAGCTTCGGTTCCCTTTGACTTTTTCAAGTCATCGGTTCCCTTGTCTCCCTCCTTTGGTAGGTTCTTCTGCCCCTCCATGTTTGCTCGGCTCCTCTTCAGCTTGCGCCTCTGACTGCCGCTCAGTTTCTCAGGTCTAAGTTTTAGACCCTCGATTTTGTCAGCTACTGCTCCCAGTTGATCTTGCGATTCCTGGTCTACATTTGCTGACGTTGCTGTCTCTTTGCTAGTAGACGGTTCACCAAGTGTCCCGTTGTTGGCATTGAGACCTTCAAGTTCGGCGATTCTTCTGAGAAGAGTCGCCAGTTCACGATCTTGTTCCGACAGGTTGTCCGTAGGATCCCTGATCGTCACAAGTTCGTTGTTTTGTGGTTTTTCTATGTTTTTGTCCATATAGTTCCCACGAGAAGTCGAGAAATAAAGGTCCGTCACAGCAGAGCTCGATACTGTGATAAGGCTGTATACTCTATGGTGCGCCAGGTGCCATAGAGGATCCCAATGGTCACTTTACCTTTCGGCTAACTACCCTGTGACAAGTTAGCAACCCTTTCACTTGGTATGGCTGGGTTAGGGGGGCCTATTCGCTGTTAGCAAGCAGGTATGCCCAGGCCTACCGGTCCCAACTAACCAAAGTCATGACCGGCTAAGAGCAGTGGTACGTGTTGCCACCCCCACTGAAATAACTAGGGTCCGCGGGGTTGTTAAGCCCGTAATCCTTGCGGATTCCCCTGCAGGCATTTTTTGAATAGTAAAAAGCATAATTGAAACTTTTTTTTTTTTTGAAAAGACTTCAATAATTTGAAAGAAATTTTAGGAAAATAAACTAAACGGTTCTAAATTTCAAATATTTATTGTAATGAATAACTACAGTAAAAATGTATAATATTGATATTCTATTTATTCCATCTTTTTAATTAAAAATTAAAATAATATGGAATATTTAATAAAGACTTAAAAATTATGAAATTCCACATCAAGTAATTTAATTGGATCATTACATAATTAGAGTCGATGACTTAAATTATTGTATAACTGTTATTTTATTGCTGCTAACATATTTCTTTATACAATTATAATTTTTCACAAATTTATGTCCCTGCTTTACTATACTCTTTGTATCACTACATGACTGTAAGACACATACTGTCAGCAAGAGATCTAATTCACAATCTAATATTCATTGTCGGTGTGGTGTTTAAATTCACTAACGGATATTTTTATAATTTTTTTTTTTTTAATTACCATTTGTTCTATGTATACACGTGTGAATTGCAAAGATATAACAAATACAAGAATACAAAGAATACCGTCTATGAATTTTAGAACCAAGTCAGTGATATATTATATAATAATATGTATAATATAAAATTGTTTTTTATAGTGATTCTTTTATCATTGACCACATAATTAATCAAAAAATAATTTTAATATTGTGCTTTTAGCTTCGATGCGAAGCTGAGAAGGTATTAATTTTACCATGATGTGTTTATTTTTTTTTTTATTTTTTTTTTTTTTTTTTTTTTTTTTTTTTTTTTTTGTGTCTGTCACTACTTTTTCTCAGCTCTCACTGGACCGATTTCTTTTAACAATACGTCAAAAGATCACAAATTGTATCTAGTTGAAGACATTACCCTTAAAAATTTAAAAATTTTCCCTCGTTCCCCGCAAATGGGGGAAATATCCAAAAAAATTACAAATTTAAAAATCGACAAATTTTGTCATTTTTTTCACTTTTTTTTCTTAAAACTTCCATAACTTTTTCAAAAATCAACAAATCAACATAATTTTTTTTTAAACTAAAACCTTAGATATTTTCCTTTCATTTGATATAATTTTTTTGAAAATTTAACACTTAACCTGCTCATGGGGGGGGATTTAAAATTGCAACTTTTTTACAAAAACTAACTTTTTCAACTTAATTTTTGAAAATGTTCCGGAAATACTGCGTCCTTTAAACATATATCAAATTAAAGCTTATTTTATGTACTATAAAATGAAAAAAAAAAATTTGTCCCGACACTTTATCTTCTGCATGTAAACGGTTGCCGTAGTTAAAAAAACACTATTTTTGTGTTAAAATTTTCGATTTTCAATTTTTAATTTTCAACTTAAAAATGCTATAACTTTTCGAAAAATGCATGTATCAGCACAATTTTTTTTTTTCTAAATACATTATAAGTACATCTTCCATTTGACATACTTTTTATTAAAATTAGACAATTTCCCCTTATATAGGGGGGGTTCAAACTTTGAAACATTGTATAAAAAATAGAACTTTTTCAACTGAACTTTTGAAAATGTTCCGGAAATACTGCGTCCTTTAAACATATATCAAATTAAAGCTTTTTTTATGTACTATAAAATGAAAAAAAAAAATTTGTCCCGACACCTTATCTTCTATGTGCAAATGGCTGTCGAAATTATAAAAAAAATGTAATATTTGCGATAAAAATCACCTTTTATAACGATGTTTTTTGTACTTAAAACTGCCATAACTTTTTCAAATATTAACTAATCAAAATAATATTTCTTTATATTGAAACCTTAGGTAATTTTCTTTCATTTGATATCATTTTTTTTTGAAAATCTAACACTTATTCTGCTCACAGGGGGGATTTAAAATAGCAACTTTTTTACAAAAACTAACTTTTTCAACTTAATTTTTGAAAATGTTCCGGAAATACTGCGTCCTTTAAACATATATCAAATTAAAGCTTATTTTATGTACTACTAAATGAAAAAAAAAAATTTGTCCCGACGACCTATCTTCTATGCGCAAAAGGCTACCGTATTTAAAAATATGCTATTTTTTATTAAAATTCTAGGTTTTGTATTTTATTTTATTTTAAAATATTTTATTAGGGGAATAAACTGACTTTCATGAATATTATATAATTTCATTGACATAGAATAAAGTTCATAAGACATATGATATTATACTTATTAACATTTTTTACTTTTTTAAAGTCGAAAAAGTAATTTTTAAATTTGAGTTAGCTTAAATAGCCAATTTTATCATGCAACAAAAATCAACGAATAGTTGCCGAATGGGTAACACCTTGATCTTTAACGCCTAGGGTACGAGGTTCAAATCCGTTTGTGGCTTCTAAAATTTTGCATTTTTTTTTTGAGTTAGAATAGAATTTTCAAATCATTTGATATTTATCTCATTTAGATTCAATAATTTCAATAAATATAAAGGATCTTATCACTATAGTCTCCCCTCGTGAGAAGAAATTGATATTCATGTTAATATTATTTTACTATGTGGTTCTTTTTCTGGCTACGATTTATTTTGCCAACCCTCACTAGACCTACTTTTTTCAACGATACGTCAAATGATTCATTTAAGTTTATGATATTTAAGTTAATGATTAGTTTAAGTTATTACTCTTAAAAATCAAAAAAATATTCCTTATTCAAATAAAAAGTAGCTTAACTAGATTTGTCCATACAAACAATTAAAATCATTAATTTTTAATATTCTTAAATTATTTATTGTCGAATTAAATTTGATATGATAAAAGTATTCAACTACAAAAGTAAATAATTTTACTTTATAATTTATTAATTTTTTAACTCTATTTCTGTGTGCTACTACCAGTCTATAATATGCCAAATTTTTTAGTAATATTTTGCTATATAAATCATAAATTTAAAAAAAAAATGATTTTTAGTTTCACCTGAAGTTAACGATGGAGTTTTACAATTATAATTATATTTTTGATAATATGCTCAATTGAGTAAATCTTTTTAACTACTTTGGTTTGATTGGTTCATTTAATTAAAGTAAATTATTAAAATTAATTAAGTTCTGAATATTTCAATTGCAGAATTTTTTTAAACACCAAAAGTTATTAGGATATGATTACTATTCTTTCTATTTCAGTTATCTATTACGATAAAAATGTAAAAAAATCGAATTTTTCTGACAAATGTACTGTAATTAGTAATTATAAAATTTCCAGATTGCATATTAATCTTAAAAATTTCATTTTTTTCAATTTAATAATGTCAATTTCAAACTTGCAAGTTGAACTATAAGTTATGGTAACAAATTCATTTTTTAGCTTCGATGCGAAGCTGAGAAGGTATTTTTCATTAAAACTTTCACTTTAAAAGACAATAAAAAATAGGTTCAAAATGATTACCTTTAACATATTAAAAATCAAAATCAGTATTAATTTAATACAATTTTTTTTGTTCTTAATTATTTTTTTTTATATGTAAATACTTATTTTTTAATAATAAGTAATAATATTAAAACTTAGAAGTAATAGAAAAAGTTTAATTGCACATTTGAAAACATCACGAAAAGTTTATTTAGAAAAGTATATTTTTTTTCTGATGAAAGTTCCTTTTGTTTAGTGTATTTATTCATAAGTAACAAAATTTTTTTATTAAAAAGTATTGCATAAATTCCTTTAAATTTGTATACGCATTAAAAGTATATGAATATACAACTCCTTTTTATTTTTATAATATCTCCGTAAAAATTACAATATTATATTATTGAATACCACTTTCATACTCAATTTAATTACTGTAATTATTATGTATTCATATATTATAGTTATAAATCGGGGTAAAATTAAGGGAATAAGTGTTATTGTTGTTTTTGAAATAATCTACCAATTTCATTTTTTTCTATTTAATAATATTTATTTCAAACTTGCAAGTTGAGTTAAAAGTTATGGTAATAAATTCATTTTTTTTTTATTAAAACTTTCACTTTAAAGAACAAAAAGAAGTAGGTTCAAAATGATTACTTTTAACATATTAAAAATCAATAATAATTTGAAAATAATTAATTATAAAAATTATATAATATATAATTAAAATAATTACTAATCTGGATATAATTAAGGAAATAGGAGTTGATGTTGGGTTGGGTTGGTTACATTTTTAACTTTATAATGCTATAACTCATTGAAAAGTGTACGAATCAACACAATTTTTTTATGAGAAATAATATTTTTTAATAATCCCTTTTTCATTCGACATACTTTATCTTAATCAGGGTATTAATAAGAAACTAGCAGATAATGTAGCTTTTGTAATTATCCACCAATTTCTTAGAATTAAACACTATCTACTGATTTGCATCGAAGCGTTTCTTATGATAGTGATTTTAATCACTGTCAGATTAAATCTATACTGGACCCAACTATGCAACATCCCCACTATGCCGCGACCCCACTGTGCTGGGTTTTTTGTTTTTTTAGTTTCACAACCATGTTACCATCAAGTTATGGGGATAAATTTAATATTTCATAAAATTCTATTTATTTTATTGTAAGATGTATTTATTGATGTTTTATGCGTTTAGTAGTATATATATTAAAATATATGTGTATATGTATGATGTATATGTTCGTATCTCTAAACCATATTGGGAATCGATATTATTTTTTAAATATTTTAATACATATTTAATTAGTGAATAAAATAGAAAATAATCTAATTTAAAAAATAATTAAATTTGATTTAATATTTCAGAAGCTATTAACAATTTAATGTATGGACTAGAAGTGAAACGAGGGTATTGTTATTTTTATCACTAAATATTTTTAGGTCGCACTCCTTCTGCTTAGGTATATAAGTTAGTTAATAACTTTGAATAACTCAGTTAATAATAATTTAAGAACTTCGGGTTCAAAATTTACTATCGACTAGTCATAATTATATATAGATAATTCTCTATTATTTAAGTTAATTAAATATATATGTTCCCATTAAAAATAAATAAAAGACACTATTATAAGGTATTATGAAAGTACCTAAAAATTATTTTATAACAGATAAATAGAGATATAATTATAAGTAATTAGCAAAGCCAAAAAAATTTCTCAGAATAATCATCATTATAAGAGAACTTGATAGGCTAATGTTAAAAGAGTAAAACCTGTATTGACTTTATCCGTTATTAAATGAAATGTGTTTTTAATGGAACATTAAAAATAAAAAATAAATAGTAAAGAAATATTCTTAAAATTTCAATTTATGTAAATGTTACTTCAAAACTATCGATTTAATATAACAATATATTATCGATGGTTTTAAGTAATGTGTATACACATTATTTATATGGACTGATACACAATCAAAGTTATGAAAAACATGAAAAATACTTCATGATTGATAAATTAACTAAAATACGAAACAAAGAAACCAAATAAATATTGTTAATATTATACTTATTTTTTAATAATTAAGTGGTCAACAATAAAATAATAAATCTTGACAGTGGACAAATCGGTAGCGAGAAATTGTTATGTAATAAGTTAAGATTTTCAACACTAAGAGAAAATTAAAAAAAATAAATAATAGTCAAATTTAAATCAATATTCATAAAATAAAAAACGGTAGCACAGTGGGGTCGCGGCATAGTGGAGACATTGCATAGTTGGGTCCAGTATAGATTTAATCTGACAGTGATTAAAATCACTATCATAAGAAACGCTTCGATGCAAATCTGTAGATAGTGTTTAATTTTAAAAAATTGATGGATAATTGCAAAAGCAANATACGATTTGTGATCTTTTGACGTATTTTTGAAAGAAATCGGTCCAGTGAGAGCTGAAAAAAAGTGGCAACAGACATAAAAAAAAAAAAACACATCATAGTAAAATTAATATCTTCTCCGCTTCGCATCGAAGCTAAAATATGTATCAATATTTTAGTTATAAAATGATTTATAGACGTAAACAAATTATATGCTTAAATTGTTTAACATTTATAATAAAAGTTGCTTACGATTTTAAGATTTATTTTGATGTTTGGATTTTCAACAACTTGTTCATTCTAAAAAAATAAACAAATATCGGTATTTATTACTAAAAATAAATACAATTAATTTTATTAGTATTTGATTTATAATTCTTTTTATTATTATTATAGATATCTACGAGCTCAAGATATTTTCTTATAGAAAAACTACAAATAAAAAAAATTAGTACCAACCTCTTCCGACAAAATAAAAATCTACTTACTAAAAGTAAATTTTTCATTTTTTTTATAGAGGAGGCTTATTCTATACTCTTTTGCTGAGCATATTTTTGATTAAATACTTACATAATTCAAAAAAATTTCTGCAAAAACTTTTTTCTTACGTACAAAATTCTGAAATATAATTATAACACAATTATTCTGTTTGGTTATTATTAGAAATTTTATTCTGGTGATTTCAAACTTAAAATAAACACTATTATGTGCAAGATGATTCATTTTTTTTGTAAAACTTAATTTATCGAAAAATAATATTAATATTTTATTTATTTGCTTCTATAAGTTCGAAATTTACATTGACAGATTTATATCTAAGTAAGAGGAAGGGTACGGACGGAAAATCTTTAGTTATAAAAATAACAGCACCCACTCTTCACCACCAGTCATTAAAATAAATTATTAATAACTTCTAAAATACTGATCCTAAAGTAATTATCAACCAGCCATTTCCTTCATTAGATCATTATCAATTAAATAATTAGTTAATTATGTGTATTATCATTTGAGAAATTAAAGTTGACGTCCTAATAGTGTATAAGGGATGAATATAAAAAAAAAATTATGGTTGAAAAATTGAAGAAAAACATTGAAATAAAAGAAATAAATAACTAAATTATTAAATTATTTTTCGATCATGTATGTTGTTCAAGCTAAGTGAATTGCTCTGTTATGAGACCCTAATTATTTATGGGAAATTTGTGAAATAACATTTATAAATTATTCCTTTAAATATTTACTTATATAATTGTTACTAACAATTCGCTCATTTTTCCAACATAATGTTTTTTTGGATATGGCAATCCACTTTTAATAAGCGCGTATGATTGTTCCATATAAAATGCACAGTATTACCCCAAATCACTATTATTTAGCTTCAATGCGAAACTGAAAAGTTATTGGAATTGTGATGGTGCGTGTCTTTTTTTTATGCCGGTTCATGAAGATATTTAGCACTCACTAGACTAATTGTATTGGTCATTACGTCAAAATAACTCGAATTTAATCTAGTCGAACCTATCGTCGCCAAAAATTAAAAAAAAACCTCAATTTTAGAAAAAGAAAAATATTATAAAATTAAATTGACATAAAAAATGAAATTTTCTAAAAAACCATTCTGTATTTTAAAAATTAAATAATTTTAAAACCAAAAATCATAAAAGTTCTGTATAAATACATCATCTTCTTTCATTTTTCGATTATTTTTTCGAAAATACACTGATCCTATTAAAATTTTAACAATAATAAATAAAAAATTTTATTATGTTTTTTTTCTAAATTCCAATAAAAAACTAAGTACAGGAAGGATTTGAAATAGACTGCTCACGAAAATAATATATATGCCAATTAGCATGTAATCAGTCGATATGTTAAAATCATAACATTGAACTTTAATGTTTTTGATTTTGGAATTTTCGAATAACTTGAAATTTTATACCACTCAATCCTGTTTTTTATTTTTTTTGTAAATAAAAATACATAATAACTATAATTTTATAAAATTGTGTACACATAATGAATAGGGTGAGATGATCATTTTTGTTATTTACTCCCTGATCTTTTATTAATTAAACCGATTATAAAACTACTTAAAATAACTCCTTACGATCGCTACAGAACCACACTGCAAAGTCTAAAATAAAAAAAAATTGTTTAACAAAATGTTTTTATTAATCATTGCAAAATTATATCACAACATAAGTAGTAACAATTCACAATAAACATACTGTTGAAGATTTTAAATAACCAGGTATAGTAATCATTTTAGCGTCATAATCCTAAAATATAACCAATGAATGTTAATAAGACAGATTTTGAATTCAAAAGAGTTTAATTCATAAGGTTTAATAAATAAATCTAATAATGATTGACACTTACAAAATCCGATTTATTTTTCAAATTTATAATTTCCATCACACCTTTCTATATAAAAAAAAAAGCATATTTGAAAATTTGTAATACACATTTGGTATTATTAATTATAATAAGCATAACAAATTATTAATTTTATAAATAATAATTTAATGTGCTTATGAAGAAAAGTATATGAAAATTTTCTTAGTTATAAAAAAGTATTAGGTATGATATTTTACACTAACAAATGTCACATAGAAATTAAATAAAAAGCATCTTAACAATATTATTAAATTAAATTTCACTTAATAAGCTTTTCAAATTACTTTGCCAATTAAAATAATGCTTCCAAAAACATCATCAAACAAAAAATCAATCGCAAGAATTAAAACAAAATAATATGTTTTATAAAACATTTCACAAGAATATTAAGATTTAAAATGTATAAATTATATCATAAAATAACTGAACAACTAATATTATAAAATATATTGTAATAATTTCCCATTAAATGTATGCATTTTTTTACGTATTTATGTAAATAAAATATTAAAAATAAACGAAAATTATTTTAAACTATAATATATTAACATATTTTTCATATTATCGATGACAAAAATATATTATTTATGCTTTTACTATGTATAATGTGTGAAAATAATTGCTATTTATTTTTGCACATAAATTTATAAAACTATACTATTATTATTAATTATTGTATGAACAATTATTTAATATAAATATTTTTAATAAATTATGTTTTTGTTTTAAATTTTTGCTGTTATTAGGTACAGCTAGATAAAATCGGGATTCTTTGGCGTATTTCTCATTAAAATCGGTCCAGTAAGAGCTGAGAATTTTCATGGACAGACATAAATAACTAATACAACCACAAAAACAATACCTTCTCAACTTCACATTAACCTAAAATTTCTAACATTTTTCTTTGTAAATGTTTTTTTTTTTTTTTCATAAATTCCAAATAGATAGTAGTTATTAGTTTTATGTAATTATTTAACAATTTAATAGGAGAATTTGTAATATTTATACTACTATTATTATATTTTTAAATAAATCTATAATACTTGATTAAATCATTTTTAAATACGATCTTTGCAGCTAATTCTGACTAGCTAAATATTACACGTTTAATTTTTTTTTTTTTTTTGGAATAATTAAAATTTATTCTCTTAAATTCTAAGAGCTTGAAATTTTTGTAAACGAGTTATTAATCCATTTTACAGAAAAAACGAAAAATATTATTTTAATCTATAATTTATTTTATGTGTGGTGTTATATTATCACTTAATATAATAGCACATAATAAGATGTAATCATTTTTATACATGTAGGTGACATATTGTTGTATTTAAATATGGAACAATCTTTTTGTTCTAACTTATAGTTTTAGTAGTTCAATAATAACGCAAAATGTAGTTAATAAAGATATAATCAATCAAAATAAAACATATAAAATATTGATACACTTAAAACCGGATAAATAAATAATACACATAATAAAAACTTAATGTCACAAACGTATCACGAGGAAAGAGATTACCTTCGGTACTCCCGAGGTCTTCTCTTTCTCTCCTTTTCAATTCATTCCATTTCATCTTATATACTAAAATATTTTGTTTGTCTTTTTATAAAATTCATATAGTAATCATTTTCAAAAAGGTTTATAAATATTTGCTTCCTGATCTAGTAACAATAATTTGGGGAATTACAATTAATCTAAACATTACATAAGTGTTATACTTCTAGGTTTAGGTGTTTTATTATAATAATTTTCTACAATAGTGGTAACGTGACTCCATCACAACTTAAAATTAAATTTACTTATAAAAACTGAGTTCTGATCCTATAATTACTATTTTATTATATATATTGTTTAGTTTTTAATTTACACGCTAAATTATCATAAAATATTTAAACTTATCACTTGTAAACGAATTTTCTAGAAATTAAAATAAAAAAAATTATACAATAACTACAAACTTTTTTAAGAAAATAGTGTATTTTAATTGATTCAAATTGCATAAATTATTTTTTTATATTTGCTCATTTACTTTTTTAACATTTTTGGATAGTTGTAAGCATAGGTGAAGGATAGTTCTCTTTATTTGGAAGAATGCTAAATTTAATTTATCTTCTCCCAAAAATAATATTATATAACATTACATATAAACTTTTTTTTTCAACTTAACTTTTGAAAGTGTTCCGGAAAGTCTGACACTTTTATATATATCTTAAAATATAGCTAATGTGTTATACTTTATTATGGAAAAAAAAAAATACGGACTTTATTTTATTTTCATGGTGTAAATAGTCATCAAAGTTAATAAAAAAATACGACTTTTGTAAATAAATTTGTTTTTATTTTTTTAACTTAATACATTTTCTATACATTTTTCAAAAAGTTATAGCATTATAAAGTTAAAAATATAAAAACGAATTTATTTACGAAAATCGAATTTTTTTTATTAACTTTGATGACTATTTACACCATGAAAACAAAATACATTAGCTTTATTTTAAGATATATATAAAAGTGTCAGACTTTCCGGAACACTTTCAAAACTTAAGTTCAAAAAGTTCTACTTTATAAATGCATTTTTTAGATTTGATCATGTCGAATGAAAGATGTGTTATAAATAATACTTCTCATGAAAAAATTGTATTGATCTATACAATGTAAAATACAAAATCGAAAATTTTCACACAAAAATAGCATTCGGTAGCCATTTTTACCGTGAAGATAAGATAAAGTCCGAAATTTTTTTTTTTCATGATAAAGTATATTACATTAGCTTTAATTTAAGATATATATAAAAGTGTCAGACCTTCCGGAACATTTTCAAAATTTAAGTTAAAAAAATTAATTTTTTGTGAAAAAGTTGTCATTTTAAATTCCCCTATGTGGGCAGGTTAAGGGTTAAATTTATGAAAAAAATATACCAAATGAAAGATAATGATATTATGCATCTATATAAAAAAGAATTATATTGATATGTTCATTTTTGAAAAAGTTATGGCACTTTTAAGTAAAAAAAATTGAAAAAATTTCGAAAATTAGCGATTTTTAAATTTGT